TCAAAAATATCTAACAGGCTTTATAAAAGAGGACAACATCCACCCAGAAAGATTTCAGAGAGGAAGATAGCGCCCATCTTGAAAAGACAAAGCCCATTACTGATTTCTGAGGACTAAACAGGGTGAGAAGGCTCACTCCTGAGTCGAGGTGGCATGGAATATTCGCCTGAAAGCATGTATTTGCTTGTTCTTACCTAAGAATCTGAAAGTACAATCCTACGCTGAAGCTTTTTAGAGACCACATTGACCTTGATTCATGCAACTGAAGCTCAGAAGTCAAACAGGATGGATTCATTACAATCATTTATAACTCTTTTAAAGTAAGCAGATTTTAAGTTTATTAACTCTCATTAGAAAAAGGATGTTTGAAATCTGCTGGGAAGAAAGGCACTCTTTTTCTGTTCCTAACTAGCACTTAGAAATGTTTACAGATAAGCATGGTATTTAAATCTTTGGGATGTGTAAAATTGTATTCAACAGCATTTTTAGACAAAGCATTAAGAATACTTCTAAATGTTTGTCTAGTTCATTAATTTTAAGTATACTCCATTGGACTCACAATGCTTTGAGATGCTTTACAAAATGCCCCCAAGATCGTGTATTATCAATCATAATACAAGCACCACCAAATTCAAATGTAGTTTCTAACGCAGAGGAGCAGCAGCTTGCGTGTGAGCGCCCTCTTCTGTTTCCAGAATATACCGCAAAATGCCTTACACGAAATTCACAATTCTGGGTAGTACAAAATGGGCTTTTCAGGAAAACTCCAACACACACAATCATGCTCTTGAAATAAGTTATCCTCCTACCTGTGGCTTAGAAGGCTGTTTTGGAGCAGATGCAGAAGGGGAAGATGAGGGAAAAGTTGCAATCCCGTAAGTCAAACGGTGATTTGCATTTCTTTACCAGGAAGTCTCATAGAAATGAACTTCATTCAATCTTTTAAAACACACTTTGGGTGGTGAGCATGCAATAGAGTATACATGTTGTATTATAAATCCCCTGAAATTTATAAACTGTTTCTAGTCAATGTTATCGCAATGATTTTTTTAAATGGGGAAACTAATCTGTTTTCCTTTTCCTTACAGGTGAAGATGACCTTAAAGACAATATTACCTAAAACTTATTTGAAAAATTTAAATTCTTTATTGGTTAAAGTATTACATATGTACCTAAAACTTTTATGCTATTGTTTTGTAATTCAACTATTTGCTTTCAGACCAGCAATTTGGCCTTGCTTTAGAAATTAACTTACAGTCAAATTCATATTTAGATGCCAGTTCCAAGTAGGAACTTTTAAATACAATTGTAACAAGAAAAATATTTTATTTCATAGACACTGGGAAAATGTACAGATAACTAGGTTGCGCCCCATGAAATTGCCATCAAGATGGATAAACTTTGTAAGATTCAATCCAATGCACCCAGCCCTGTGCTTTAGGACCCTGGGTAAGGGCATACAAGGTCCCTGGAGTAGAGTCACTCTAGAGACTAGGGAGGGGCTGGAAGAGAACAAAATCTCATGGAATCATTGTGTGTGTACACCAAGCATGTCAAACTCACAGCTGGCAGGCTGATGCAGCCCATTGGCCACCAGTTTGACATGCTTGGTGTACACAAAGGGGATGAAGCGGAGACAAAACAGGAAAGAATTGATGGATGAGAATTTTAGGGATTTTGTTACAAATATGACCAGTTTTAGGGCACTTAATCCTTTGTTGTTCCTAAGGAATTAGAGCCAAGCCCTGTAGCTAAAACAGTGCTTACTGATCTGGCCTGTAGGAAGTTTTATTTCCTGTAGCAGTTTTGAAATTTAACTTAAATATTGAAATGGAAGTTAAATTTCAACACATGGCAGTAAGGGGAGTTTGCCAATCTAAAACATGCTTTTTTTTGGGGGGGGGGGGGGTAATTGATTATTTTAAGATGATTTTTTTTTTTTATTTTAGTAAATCTTTATTGTTCAGATTATTACATTTGTTCCTCTTTTTTCCCCCCATAGCTCCCCTCCACCCAGTTCCCACCCCACCCTCTGCCCTTACCCCCCCCCCACCCACTGTCCTCATCCCTAGTTGCACAATTTTTGTCCAGTCTCTTCCCGCATCTCCCACACCCCTTTCCCCACCAAGAATAGTGAGTCCATTTCCTTTCTATGTCCCTGATTCTATTATAATCACCAGTTCATTCTGTTCATCAGATTATTTATTCACTTGATTCTTAGATTCACTTGTTGATAGATGCATATTTGTTGTTCATAATTTGTATCTTTACCTTTTTCTTCCTCTTCCTCTTCTTAAAGGATACCTTTCAGCATTTCATATGATACTGGTTTGGTGGTGATGAACTCCTTTAGCTTTTCCTTATCTGTGAAGCTCTTTATCTGACCTTCAATTCTGAATGATAGCTTTGCTGGATAAAGTAATCTTGGTTGTAGGTTCTTGGCATTCATCACTTTGAATATTTCTTAAGATGATTATTTTTAAGAAACTATTTTAAGCTGGTTGTTTTTAAGAAAAGACTCAGGAATAACCTTTGGCCTTCCCCCTGCCTAAAATTATTTAAATAGAGGATCTGCTCCAAGATGGGAGCTATCATCATAAATCACTGTAGTTTGATATGAACTGAATGTGATGGACAGGGAGGAACCCAGCAAAGCCCATCTGGTTAAAGTCCTCTGCCTACTGTTAAAGATGACCCAGCAAACATATTTACCAAACATTTGCTTTTCATCTCCATGTGAATTGCCTCCTCCCCTTTGGAGTTCCAAACCAGGACCTCCCCTGTTCTTTATCCTTAGCTCAAACCCCAATTGCCCCAATTGTCCTTGGTTCCAGATTCTCACGGAACCCACCCCCCTGCCCAAGCCCAGTAGGTATATATGCAATAAACTTGGTTGTTTTCTCTTGTTGATTAGAAGAACTTTAAAAGGGTAGGGGAAAAAATGTATTCTCCCTCTCCCTTCACAGCACCTTTCTCATAAAAAGGGTGGGTAGAGAGGTCGTTAGGTTGATTTATTTTAAAGCTGATTTATCTTCATATCTTTTACAGCCTCTCCCCTCAACCTTATCTGAAATATATTCTATACAATTATATAAAAATAGCTTCCTAAACTTTCAAAAAATAGTTTTAAATGCCCATTATATCTATAATACTAGTTGCCAAGATTTAAAAATTCTTTAGAATTATCCTGTGGACAAAGTTTGTCCTGTTGTCAGGAAAAATTGCCAAAGATTTTGAATAGTAGCTCAATTGTCCAGGTTATCAACACCTGTCATTGTCTTTGCATTATTTTACAAGTCTGTATATTTTTGAAAACTGATAATACACATAATACAAGTCCATACAAATGCAAATTAATTGTGGGCCAGTAGGGGAAATTGATTATCTAATCTAATAAAAGAGAAACATGCAAATTGACCACACCTCCGCTATGCCCCAAGCCACGCCCACCAGCCAAAAAGAGTGACTATATGCAAATTAACCCAACCAAGATGGCAGCCAGCAGCCACGGAGCTAGAGCAAGCAGGAGGCTTGGTTGCCCCGGCGATGGAGGAAGCCAAGCTTCCCACCTGCCCTGGCCGGCTGTGGCCTCCGCTCAAGGCAACAACATTTCAATTATAGAAGATAAATAAATCCCGATACCTGCTTCCCGCCAGCCTCCACTGGGAGCTTGTGTAGCTGGGGGCCGTGGCCAGCCTGCAAACAGCCATCATCCTCTCACCCAGGCTGGCCAGGCACCCCAGCGGGGCCCCCCACCCTGATCTGGGACACCCTTCAGGGCAAACCAGCCGGCCCCCACCCATGCACCAGGCCTCTATCCTATATAATAAAAAGATAATATGCAAATTGACCCTAACAGCAGAACGACTGGGAGTGACTGGTCACTGTGACACACACTGACCACCAGGGGGCAGACGCTCAATGCAGGAGCTGCCCCCTGGTGGTCAGTGCGCTCCCACAGGGGGAGCTCTGCTCAGCCACAAGTCAGGCTGATGGCTGCCTGCACAGCGGTAGTGGTGGGAGCCTCTCCTGCCTCCTCAGCAGCGCTAAGGTTGTCCAACTGCAGCTTAGGCCTGCTCCTTGCTGGCAAGTGGACATCCCCCGAGGACTCCCGGGTTGCCAGAGGGATTTCTGACTGCCAGTTTAGGCCCAATCCCCCAGTGAGCAGGCCTAATCCAGCAGGTGGTCATCCCCTGAGGGGTCCCAGACTGCGAGAGGGCACAGGCTGGGCTGAGGGACCACCCCCGAGTGCACAAATTTTTGTGCACCGGGCCTCGTCTATATATATAAAAGCCTAAGTGACCGTTATGACCAGTCGACCAAACAACCACCAGGGGGCAGACGCTCAATGCAGGAGCAGCCCCCTGGTGATCAGTGCACTCCCACAGCCAACCTCCTGCAACCGGCCAACCTCCTGCGGTCCTTCCCCCTGGTTGGCTGGCCCCAATCACCCCAATAGGCCCTGATCAGGATTGGGCAGATGGCCCCAATCAGCCCCAATTACCGGCCAGGCCAAGGAACCCCACCCATGTATGAAGTCGTGCACCAGGCCTCTAGTTGATTATATTACTGCATTGTGGATAGATTCATTTTACATCTATTTGTAAATTCATTCCAGAATTCCTTATTTCATGTACATCTCTGCTTTTGAATTCTCCTTGGAACAAGTTGCAACATCTTAATCCCCCCCTCTACACACATACCCAATTAGTTAACAAGTTAAGTAAAACCGTGGGCATATACTCACATTATTTCTTTAGGAGAGTAATGATTATATCCTCTTTAAAAAGTCATCCTTTAACATCCCAAATGATAGTTTGGTGGTGTTATTTTTCCAGGATGTGCCAAGATGCCATGTTCACTGACTCCTTAATAGTAAAGCAGTATACATTCACCTGACAGAGTCAATTGTTTAAGTTTATTAAAATTGATTTCACACCTTTAAAAAAAATAGCCCCAGACCTTGCAAAAGAAGATATAAGTCCACCACACAGCAAGAATCATTTGAAATACATCTTTAATTTTGAAAAACCAATATGCAATCTACCAAATACTTTGTTACATGATTATTAAGGCTCAATCTATTTTATATTTGTGTTGCTATGTCATAAAGTAATATTTTAAGTACAATATAATACTTAATCATTATTAAGGAAGGCTTTCTAACTGAATTTATAAGAAAAGGGCTGTGTCATAAGCACAGCCTCACAATGAAGGTAAATAACCCTTAGAACTGTCTAATATATAAATCAGGTTAAAAGGAAAAAACACCACACAAAACAAATCCAATCTTTATGTGCTGAAAAGTATTTTTTTCGTACCTTTTTAAATGAATAAACTATTTCTATTCCCATAGAAAGAGAAAATGTCTTTAAATTCTGATCTGTACAGTTGATCAAGTAACCATCAAGCCATGAATTCACTTCCACAGTTAATATGATCCTTTGACTGGGAAGGCAACCAGACCTGAACAATTAGAGCAGGACAACTAGTCAGAACCTGGTCAAGTCCTTGGAAGCCTGACATGTGTAACTAAATGACTGACCCCTAACCAGTCAAACTCAGAAAGGGTTAATCTAAAGTACATAAACTAAAATGCTAGAAAGGAGTAGTTCCTCCTTCACTTTCTTCCATCCTTGACAACCTTAAAAGCAAGGGGTTTCATTATTATAGTTGTCTTTCAGATCATCATTTACTTTCTAGCAAAGGAGATTCTACTTCTTAATTTGTAAGTCTAAATGGACCCTATCTAATTTTTCACTTATGGCACTGTGGTCATTTCTTACCTTCTGTCATTTCTGAGGTCAAAAGAATTGTATTAAAAAGCCTCTCCTTCCTCCACAGAATGTTAATTTAACGCTAAGTAATGAATATTTAAGAATCCTAATAGATGTGCAAATGAACAATTATGCCATAGCACCCTGCTGTTAATGCCATCAACCTTTGCATTGCAGCGAAAACTCAATTTGGGCTTTAGTCAGCGGTTTGTTACTAGGTTTCCAACACTAATCTTGAGATGCTCCTGAAGGCTGATGGCTGGTAAGTAAGTGACCCCAGCAGTGAGGTAGTCACAGACCAGGCAACCTGTGAAGCACCAGGGGCGATTAATTGAACCCTTTGCTGAAATTATTCCGAGGTGTAAATATTCATTAAGTCCAACTGAATCAGACTCTGAGTTCTTCATGGGCAGGATGCCATTAAACAGATTTGAAAGGAATGGCAGTAATTAACCCAGCGAACTTTGCTGGCACCTGGAGCAGCAACACCCCCAGCCACCTTCATATTTGGGTTGAGCAGATTGAAGTCTCTCCAGAGTGTGCCGCCCCAGAGAATGGGGAAAGATGGTGGAATTTTTCTTAATGACGCACACACAGATTTGCCCTCCCATACATCAACAGTGAGTCTCAAGCATATGATATTATGAGCAATGCATCAAGTGGGGTTAAAAAGAGCAATAACACTTCATTTTAACAGTCAACGTCTGCCTTCCTTGCTGTTACAGCAAAATAATGAAAAACAATAAAATCTGCTGATTGATACAAACCATCATACATGTTCGTTTTAATCTGGTTTTGGAACAGATTACAATGAATGTGACACAATATTAAATAAAACGTAAGACATAAACTCTGGGCCGACCAATAAATGTTGTTTGGAAGAACATTATTATATCAATTTTTACTCAAAACAAATCTAGTAAATAGAGAAAAATATCTCCTAATCATATTGTAGATCCAACATAAATTGAAGGTGTGTTAATACCAAATGGAGGACTTTGTTTTTCAGACCAAAAAAAATACCTAGAATATAGATTTCATGAATTTTAAAATTTGACTTTTCCCTGTAAATACTGAAAGGAAGTTATAAACAGAATTATAACTGCTAATGCTATTGGCTTTTCATTAGAAACCAAACATTTAGCTGACCGAAAAACAGAAATGTCAAAAATCTAGGGAAAATAATCTAGTGTTTTTCATTTTGCTCTAAATTTAGTAGAACTAGCATAAAATAATCATGAGCTAGACTTCTACTCAAGAGAGACTTATGTTAATCACAAATAATACTTTATCAAAATACATTCTTAGAGTCTGTACTTTTGGGAAAGAATATTCATGAAGTTTAAAAATTCATCTTTAATGCACATAAATATTTTAACTGGTGTCCAATACTGGGATTCCATTTTAAAAGAAATCTCTCCAAGCAAAAGGCAATAGGTCTTCGTGACTGGTACTAAAATATGTATATCAACAGAAATAGCTTCTTTGCAGCCAACACCAGAATACAAATACATTTTGAAAACAATAATACCGGGGGGGGAGACAGGTACCAAATACACAGCCAATGATTACTTGCAATGTGGTAAGAGGACAGGAAGATAAATAATTCAAAACCACAGACACTTTCCACATCTCCATTTTAGCTTGTCGTTTCAGCATCAATCTATACCGACCCACATTTCAGAGATGAGCAAGAGGGAAAATTAAGTATTTTTGGTTTATGGGTGTTTTTTTTTTATTGCCTCACCCTCCAGTACAGGTGCTAACATAGCAAGAAGAAATAGGGACTGGAGGGTAATAAATATGACAGCTGGGTAATCCATAGCACAAAACAATCAGCCACTGAGTAATCAAAAATCAAAACCCCTTTAGCCAAACTGGCTGTTGGGTCACACATTGAATAACAGCGCCTTTGAGTTTCAATAGGAAGCAGAAACATCACGCAAATTATAGACACATTTTAAATCAAACCCCTGGAGCACAAATATATCAAAAAGCATAAAATATAGATTGTTCAGTTTCAGGTCTAAACGTCTCCAAACACAGCCAGCCACTGGAGCTGTCCTAAGCCCTCTATTCCGAAGTAATTTCCACCAGGCAGTAGCAGAACTGTGTGCGATTACTATTTGAAAAGTGGGTTGTCCTCATTAACTCCTGCTACTCCTACTGAGTGATGCAATCACCAGCTTTATCTGGGTCTTCCCCGTCGATTTTAATCCACTTCTTTTCTATTTCAACCTGGTATGCAAAAGCAAAAACACGAGCAGCATTAACAAATGCAACACAGCACTAGCACCTGTTCAGTCCCATTTCATACATGGGGCATGCTCTGCAGCCACACCACCCTTTGGACAGACACAGCCCTTCCACCCCCTCATGCTCCTTCCATAGTGAGGCACTCCCCTCTCTTTTGGGCAACAGAGGTCCCCCTTCCCCCACCCCAATCCTTCCCTCTAGTGTCAAATCTTAAAAAGAGCTAAAACTCTCCTCTCTGCTAAGTCAAATATCATTTTTATAAAATGTACTCAGAATATATATTGATAACACAGACCTCTGGCTAGGCATGTGATCAATTATATCCTCATATCATAGATCCAGGCTTTGGCCCACCTGGGATAACACAGACCACTCTCGACAAGGAAGCCCCCATCAATCTCTATCCTATTACCCCATTTGATTCTCGTCCTAGAATCTGTCACTATTTGAAATTACATTACTTATTTGTTTACTAATTGTTTTTTGTTCCCCACTAGCAGGTAAGCTGCATGAGGACAGGCAGTATCTCATTCACTCTTGTATCCCCAGCATCTAGAGCAGCACCTGGCACTTAGAAATTGCTCAATAAATACTTATTAAATGTAAGATTACATTTTGAAACCAACTGCCACCCAGTGCAGATCAATTAGTAAATGATGTTAAACTAGAGACTCTGTTGCATAATTGTGAGCTGTCCTTCGACACTGTGTGAAACTGGCTTACCCCGTGAATAGAAAACTAAGTATAGAGGAAGTCTCTGTGTGCACTTGACCCACATTTCAGTCACACATAACACTTATATACCTAGTGTTACAGGTCAGGTTCCCCAAGATGCAAACTCTGAGATGGAGAATGGTGTGCAGAAGGTCTACTGGGGAGTGCTGTTGGGGTTGACATCTGGTCAGGGAGGGAAAGGGGGGAGAAGGAAGGAAGCAGAACAGGAAGGAGGAGAAGCTGGGCTGCAAGGAGGTCACAGTAAAGGCTTCAACTGATGCCCAGAGGAAGCTGAAGCTAGGATGGCCCTATGGAGTTACCTAAGCTGAGGCAAAGGGTCTTCACACCCCTGCAACCACCAGTCACTGAACGAAAGCTGCCCCAAGGACAGCGCAGGACCTGGAGCTCTCTTCAGCCAAGGCAATTCCAGCTGCTAAGGGAACAAGGGCTTAGGTTCCCACGGGGCTGCACAGGACAGGTGGCCCAAAATAAAGAAAACTCCTGACAGACTACTGTGTTATCAAACCACCAGTTGGTGTTTATGAGTCAAAAATCAGAATGACATTAATCATAGCTGAGATTCAAGCAACACAGATTTCAAAATGATATGAGAAAGTGTAAAATGCTACTCATGTGGAAGATAAAAGAAAAATAAATTCTAAACAGAACCACCTGTTTGTTACTTGCTGTTTACGTTTCTGTTTTGTTTTTTACTTTGGAAATATTTTCTAATTAAATGATATATTTGCAAACAAAATCGGTGATGCATCACCATTTCAAGATACTATGGGAAATATATGGCAGAGTTTATGTCTGAATCTACTACTTTCAAGATGAGAAGAAAAGCCAGTTTAGAAACAGGTGCAAATGTATGCCACTCTTTAATTCATCTGGCCTAAGGAGGCAGAAGCACTGATGGTGAACATTTTAAATTGTTGTAATAGAGTAACTTCACATTTCCCCAGGGGTGCTTCACAGAATACAATTTCAGAAGATATTGATATACATTTTACATGCACATGCCCATACAGACTGGATTTCATAATCAATAAGTTGGAGGAAACTGGGTCAAGGTTAACAAGGACTTCTCAGAGCCTTCATTTAACATTAATTTAAAGTATGGCATTCCTAAGCTTTTTTTTTTTTCCTGGATACATGTTCCACAGAACACTTATTGGGAAGTGCTATTCTAACATGATTTTTGTTATAAATATCCTTCTGAAATGTGAATTCATTTTTAATGCCCTGTTTTCCATTGAGAGCTGATTAAGTATGTAACACTGTGTGCTCAGGCTCCTAACATTCTCTAGAACTGAGAAGGGACAAACTAGGCTCACTGGTGACCATCAAGTCTGCATAGGTCAAACGCACACACACACACACACACACACACACACACCCATACATGGTCACGTAAAAGGGCAAAGCAAATATCTAAAACCAATCATGTCACAGCTCTAGAAGCCCTAAGGGGTTTAGGATGTACCTGGATGTTGTAGCAAGCTCGCTGATGAACGTGTTTCTGTGGCTGCACATCGCTCTCCACCCCCAGAGACCTGACCTCTGTCCTTGAGGCACAGGTGTCGAGCATCCCAAATTGAACAGTAGCAAATGGATACCAATCAGAGGGAATTTCTTGGTCTGATCCAAGTTCTAGTTTGTATGACAAACAATGGGGATGATCAGGACCTTGAGGAAAAAATCAAATTGTCAGTCAAAGTATTTCAATGGCCACTGAACATTTCTCTTGAATGTAAGAGGCACTCATCCCTCTCTTCAATAATCAATTCCATTAACACTATGGCAGCGTGAATTCTATTTGAGCAAAATACCATCAAAATTTACAATTCTGCACTAACTAGGGGAATATCTTCAATTTTTAAATACTAGCTTTAAAATAAATACTTTATTATTGCATACATGTATATATTAACTCCTAAAAATGTTTTCAGTTGAAGTATGTTAAGTTTCTTTAATTAAAAGATAGTATCTTTTACTTAATATGTGTAGGATTTATAAAAAGTACTGAGGTAAATAACATGACTTTTTACAATGTATGTAGGATTTGTAAAACAAAACAAAAAAAACACCAACAAAACTTGCTTAAGTAGACTAAATGAGCTCTTATAATAATTCTTAATTTATTCATTTTCTTACTACTCTTATTGATAGTTAATGCAAAGATAAGCTATCTAAATTAGGTCACATAAAATAATTCTGATTTTTTTAAGTTAAATTTAATGAAATTGTATTACATTTCAGGAACTATATTAGGCCAAAAATTCCTTTTTCAGTAGAACAGATTATATTTTAGTACATTTCCACTCACCCTTCTTAAAGCTTTGATGAAAACAGACATGCAGTGTAGAGATGGGCATATTGGCTTTGACTGTTTCTAATATTTGTTTTCACTTAATTCAATGTGTCGTTTATTGAGCATCTACTCTATGCCAGGCCAGGCTTTGTGCCAGACCTAGGGATATCAGATAAATGCAAAAATTTAAGTGTAGTCATATAATGTTTGTGAGTGTGTGAGTGTGTGTGTGTGTGTGTGTGTGAGAGAGAGAGAGAGAGAGAGAGAGAGAGAGAGAGAGAGAGAGAGAGAGAGAGATAATGGAGTAAAAAATATTTCCATTGTAATCACTGTAGTAACAGTGATTCTGCTGTATTTTCCACAGCATCTACATATCCAATGCAGCTATCTGACCTTAAATAAATGTATGAGGTGACAGTAATTTCAAAGCCAGATTAAATTACTGTAGCACTGACATAGCTTCCAAAATAACATTTCCCTCAGAATATAGCTTTAGGCACAAAAACAAGAGTTTAAAGGATTTCACTTAATTCTTAAAAGATAAATTGCCTTTCATCCCTTACAATCTGTTTCTTGTAGAGAGACCAATAGAATTCTAAGGCTGTAAAAGGCCTTGAGAAGTCATCAATCCATTAACCACCAGAGGCTCGTTAGCCACCTCCACCACTTACATGCAGGGTAGGACCACAGTGGCCTCTGAGGTGCTCTGAGCTACCCAGATCACTGCAGGCAGGTGATAACTTTATTCACACACACACACACCCAGGGGAGAGCCCACCATCCATTACCGTTTGTTTCTAGTCTTCTGCCTGAAGTGCAGACACAGTAAGTTCATTTAAGCTTAACTCAGGAACTCTAATGTCCATTATGACATACAGTGGTGAAGAACACAAACACTGGATCCAGGTTGCCCAAAGCCCAGTCCCAGCTCTGCTACTTAATAGCTGTGTAATCTTTGGCAAATTACTTGATCTCTCTGAGCCTCAGTTTCCCCATATGAAAACAGGGGTGATGGTGCTGATAATAACAACATAAACCTTACAGGATTGTTATGAGGATTAAACAAAACAATCAGCAAACCTAGACACTAAAACCATGGTATACTATAGTGGTATAGATACAAGTGGGGGATATATTCTGGTATGATTACTTTGCAAAGTACTATTTGATTATAAATACAATATTATTTAATTACTATAATTTTGCTAAGGAAGTGACTGTGAATTCTACATTTTTAGAGCTGAAAATTATATTGGAGGTTATCTAATTAGATATTCACATTTTAAAGGGAAAAAAATTTTTTGGAATCTCCTGCAATCAAAATTACCAAAGTTGAAGACCTAGTACTCCAAAAAATGTTAGAAACAAAACCTTTCTGCTTGTTTGTCTTAAAAACTGGTAAAAGGTAAAGGAGAGCAATTGTTCCTTTAAGCTTTCTGGCATATTTTCTTTGGCTTTTAAAAACTCTAAATACTCTACAATGTTTAATAACATACTCCTCCTTTAAACTTTGGTCTCTGTGAGGAGAGGTATCATGTCTGTCCCTAGGACAATGTCTGGCACGTTTGTGGCTCAATGGATATTTGATGAATTTACAAAAAAAAAAAAAAAGGAAAATCATGTTATTTATCTCAGTACTGACCAGCAGGGGGCACTCTCAGGCTTTGGAAATTGCTATTCTCTCACCAGAACTTTCTCAGCAAAGGGAATGCAAATTACAGTATCTTCTTAGGTCCAGTAGATATCTGGTCCTTCTTAAACCAAAACATTTCACATCTGAAACAGAACTGTTGCAAGTTGGAAGATATGAATGGCAAGAGAATGATACAAGTGGAGGAGGAGAAAAGCAACCAATGTGCTGGTGACAGAGCGCAAAGAGAAAAAGTAAAGGCAAATTGGGAAGGTAGAGATAGATATATTTGTTAATTGACCCTCCGCCATTTCCACTCTCCTTCCTAATTCTATGCCACCATCTGCACCTCCTTTGGCTAATTCATGCTCTCGTCTTTTCCTCTTCTTCCTTTCTCTCCCCACCCACCTCTGTTTCCCAACCCTCCACTCCTCCCACCGACCTCCCAACCCCCCACCAAAGCCTGTCCTCAGGAAAGGCTCCTCTGTTCCTTTGCTGTCATTCACATCTTTGTCTGAATAAACTATCTGAGCTACCTGCCCAAGGCCAACTTCTGTTGTAAAATGAAAGACCTGCCCGCTGTTAAAAGAAATATTAAGCATTGACATGCTAGAAGACACATTTAAAGGGCCAGCAGCCCATCCCACCTCCCTTGAAATCACATGTAAGTGAAAATGAAGTCAATCCTGATCTCAAAATTCCACAGGAGGAAGGGCATAAATTTTTTTAATTAGTACCTAGTAGAGTAGTTCTTATATTCTCTTTCATTTTCCATTTTAAAATATTTTTTTCTAACAGTGTAGATTTTTCAGAAACTAGTTTGGAAAAGGTAATGTTTTAAAGACTTTAAAAATCTGCTGTTCTCTAGACACCCAATTGCTTTAAAAATCATATAGAAAAGTGGAGATGTACTCTAAGACTCTGTTATTCTACGTGTTGTCCGTGGGCAACAGCATTGGTATCACCTGAGAACAGTTATCAGGCCCCACATGTTGAATCACAATCTACATTTGAACAAGGTAATTCATGTGCACACGAAAGTTTGAGAAGCACTGCCTTAGACAAAAATTTCCTCTCCACCCCAACCTATTTCTATACTTCTCCAGAGGCAAGTTGCCAGGCACCCTCTCACTCTTTGTGTTTCCTCCCCCACCCCCACCATGGTGAAGCCACAAGACTGGACCACAGGATGCCACCCACTTCAGAGCCACCTCCTGCCCACCTTCTATCTGACACACTCCATTGGCCTTTTCCCTAGGCCTCCTCTTTGCACACAGAGCTGATCTGAACAAAGCAGCTTTGATCCTAAAGGATTTGTTCAGTAAATTATCACTGGAATGCTTGTAAAATGCTTTCTGTGTGGGCCTGGTGCTATGAAAGTCTTCAAAAAGAATTCCCGAAGGCCAAGATCAAGTCCAGCCACCTTTCTGGGAAAACCCACTCTTGTAATTGTTCTTTGCGAGCTCAACTGCTAGTAAAAACGGGTACAAGAGTAATAACAGAGCTCCATAGACATAGGAATAGACAGCACAGGGAGGGACGTTCTCTGCCTAGGGGACCATAATATGTTCCACAGGTCGGTAGTTCTCAACACTAGCTGCCTGGGAGAGCCTTTTATCAGCGCCCATACCTGGGCCTCCTCCCACCAGAGAGTCATGGTTGGGATAGAGCCTAAATGTGGGTATGATGTTTTTAAAGCTCTAATGATTCTATGGTCTCTGACAAGCAGACAGGGCTTGGAAACAGACAGATTTTAAAAGCAAGAGTGATGACAGGATCCTCGGCTATCAGCTAATGGCACCACTGTCCACCCATTCCCCAAAGCCAGAGATCCTGGCCTCCTCCCATCCTCTCCCTAACCCCAAGGCTCACAGGTAACCTGTCATTGTTTTGGGGGCTCCTCTTCTGAATTTCCTCACCCATTCCTCACTTCCCCAGTGAAAGGCCCAGAGGAAAACGCAAGGAAGAAGAAAGAAAATGAAAATGCTCAGGTGAACTCATGGATGTAGATCTTTAAAGATTAATTAGGGAATTTAATGTCAAGAAGTCAACTAAAAGTGTTCCTTGTGTGCCACCATGTACAACTAAATCCTAGCCTAGACTAATATTTATTATATATATATATATTTAAAATTAAACTTATCTGGCAGAAACTGGCACAAAAGAATGAAATAAGCCGGCTGTTTAACTAAATGTCCCATCTCCCACCCAGCAATGTATAAGCATGTCCTCAGCTGACCGAAGTTACCATCTGTCTCAGCCTCATTTCAATCTAAGTAGGGTGAAAACATTGAGGCTGTTTCACATGAAAATCAACTTGAGGTGCTGAATATTTACTTGAATGTTTATCAGGAAGCCGATCTATCTTCCATACCACGGCCCGGTAGGCACTCTCATATTTTGCTGACCCCACAGTGACCTGTATGACAGGTTCAGATTCGGGTTCATGTAAACTCCCCAGACATGCCCGGCGGTTCATTTTGGCTTTCAGGGACTTCTGCCTCTGGAGGTTCATGGTCCAGAGAGCCTTGATCCATTGCGACGGGACAGGAAAGTGTATCATTATGTTGTCACAGGACCTCAAGGAACTGGCATGGGATGATTTCGGAAGCAATGAGGTCATGTTGACAAAGGCCTGAAGCTCCACATATGCCCCCTGGACAACCACTACAGACTTCAGGGAAAAGGGAAGGTCTTCCCCATTATACAACGTCTTGAAACGCATCAGCTCAAACCGGCAGGCATCCAGAGGTACAAACTTAATGATTCTTGATTGCTCGAATTCTTGTGCTTTCACACACTTATGAAAATGATATTCAAGAATATCAATCCCCTTCTTTTCTGGGTCTGCTTCAAAATAGTGTTCATTTCGCTTCTGCAGCTCAAGATCATTCAATGTTAAGAAGCATTCCGAGTTCCCATTCACAAAGCAGAGGCAACAGATCTGAGTTATCACAGCACTTTCAACCAATTTCCCTTCTTCTTTAGTGATTTTACCCCAAAAGTTGTCCACAATTTCAAGGGAAATTTCTTGTTCCTCATAGTTCTTTTTTGGTTTTGAAACAGCTGGCAGCTTCATCAGCTCCTCCTCCACAGTAGTCAGAAAGTCGAGGAAGTCATGGTACTCTGTGGATCCCAACTTTAGCATCTGCTCTATGTCTGGCTCGTGAACTACTTCTGTCTTAGAATGGTACTTTCTTTTTTCTGTGTAAGACACATGTTCAATCTTCACAGTATGGATTTTTCCCGCCACACTGAAGTTCTCAAGTTTGGGTTCAGAAAGCCTGCACTGTGAATCAAGCTGTAACTCTTTAAATGGTTTTTCTAACCCCTCCTCATAATACATTTGCAAAATTCCTCCAGGTAAGACTTTTAAAAAAATTGGTCCCCACTGACGGGAAGACATCATGTTCTTCTTCTCAGGAATTCTCAGCATGAAAGACCATCCAGGTTTGGGCTGACTCCTGAAGAGGGTGTGGGGGACAAAGGAAGAGCCTGTATCTTCAGCATACAGACACTGCATAGACAAACTTCCAAAGGAGTCTTGGTCCTCAACTGATTGGAGATGTTCAAGCTTCTTACAGATGTAGTTGAGTGAACACTGATTTAAGCTTTTTTGATCAATGGGCATTTCTTTGTCTCTTGATGGGAATCCCTTTCTGCTTCCTGGAGGGTCAAAGGTGAACTGGGAAGCACTGCCTTCTTCTTTCCAAAATGGACTTGAAAAGGCACAGTCCTCCTGAAAATACTGAAACTGAAGAGCATCACTTTGGAACCCCAGGCTTTCAGCCTGTGGAGGACTAACTTCATCTGGAAGACCCACTTTGGGAGCTGGAGGTGTGCATGAGTGATCACTGGGTAAGGAAGCATGGGGAACACAGGTTAGTTTAGTAGACAATAAGGAAGAATCTGCTCCAGGTGTTGTGAGTGGGCTGTTTGAAGATAATTCTGGAATAGGATAAAGCACATGAGTCCCTGCTTTGGGGATGCCAGGAATTCCTGTGAAGTCTTTGGTAGGTGTAGAAAGAGGAGAGTTACTTGGAGGTCCTGGACTGAAGTAGAAGTCTACGATGGGAGAGGGGAGGGGGGTACTACTGGTGGAGGAAGACCCACTGGAAAATTCCTTAGGAGTAGAAAGGTTCAGCTTAAGTCCGTTTGGCCTGCAGATGCCTTGATTCTCTGGACGGAAGTTTTTTGACTTTTGAGAAGATTGAAATGTAGGGTCATCATCAAATGTGACCCAGTTGCCTGGGTTTGTAGAACACATCTTTAAAATCAGATTGTGATCCTGTCAATGATTCAGATGTGTAGTCTCTGTTAAAGGAGAAAAAGAAAACATAAGAATAAAAATGAGGGGAAAATTTCAAGTTACTAAAGATCTTTAGTTCTGAGAAATACTTCGATTTAAAAGCATCCGGATTTATAGATTAACTGAGTTCAAAGAAGTGCTTAAAAACTGTAACATTTTTGATGGCTGAATGGATTTAAAAATATAAGATCTAGCCATATGCTGTGACAAAAGACTCATTTTAGATTTAAGCAAACACATAGGCTGAAAGTGAAAGGCTAAAAAATGATATTCTATGCAAATAGAAATCTAAAGAGAGCAGGAGGTAGCCATACCATCAGACAGAATAAGTTTAAGTCAAAAACTGTCACAAGAGATAGAGAAGGATGTTATGTAATAATAAAGGGGTCAACTCACTAGAAAGATAGGATGATTAAAAGTATATATAAACTCAACACTAATACACCCTAATGTATAAAGCAAACATTAAAAAACTAAATGGAGAAACAGACAAGGACACAATAATAGTAGGATATTTTAATATCCCACTTTCAATAATGGATAGGACATCCAAACAGAAGATCAATAAGGAAATGGAGGACTAGAACAACACTATATAGATCAAGTGGATATACAGGACCTATATAAAACATTCCACATAACAACAGTAAAACACACATTCTTCTCAAGCACACACAGAACATTCTCTAGATACATCACAGGTTAGGCCACAAAACAAATCTCAACAAATTTAAGATTGAAATCACACAGGTATCTTTTCTACCACAATAGAAAAAACTGGAAATCAATAGCAGAAGGAAAACTGAAAAATTCACAAATATGTAGAAATTAAACAATACTCAATGGGTCAAAGAAGAAATAAAAAACAAAATTAGAAAATATCTTGAGACAAAAATTAAAACACAACATACCAAAACTTATTGTATACAGCAAAAGTGGTGCTAAGAGGGGAGTTCATGCTGGTAAATGCTTACATTTTTTAAAAAAGATCTCAAATAAACAGCCTAACTTTATAGCTCAAAGAACTAAAAAACAAACAAAAACTAATCCCTAAGTTAGCAGGAAGAAATGAATAAAGATTAGAGCAGAAGTAAATGATATAGGCAATAGAAAATAGAAAAAAATATCAATAAAACTAAGAGTTACATTTTTTTAAAAATTAACAAAATTGACAAATTTTAGCTGGACTAAGGGGAAAATACTTAAATAAAATCACAAATGAAAGAGGAGACATTACAACTAATGTCACAGAAAAATTTTTTTAAATTTATTAGAAGAGACTATGTGAACAATTAGGGGCCAACAAATTGATTAACCCAGAAGAAATGGATAAGTCCCTAGAAACGTAATGTTTACCAAGATCCAATCATAAAGAAATAGGAAATCTGAACTGACCTATTCCTATAATTAGTGAGAAGACTGAATTTTTTAAAAAATATATTTTATTGATTTTTTTACATAGAGGAAGGGAGAGGGATAGAGAGTTAGAAACATTGATGAGAGAGAATCATCAATCAGCTGCCTCTTGTACACTCCCCACTGGGGATGTGCCCACAACCAAGGTACATGCCCTTGACCAGAATCGAACCTGGGACCCTTCAATCCGCAGATCGATGCTCTATCCACTGAGCCAAACCGGTTAGGGCAAGACTGAATTTTTAAGTGGTAGAGTATTGTTACCTATATGCACATTGTTGTGCAACAGATCTCTTGGACTTTTTCTATTGGCATGACTAAAACTGCATCCCCACTGAACAGCAATACCCTTTTCCCTCTCCTCCCAGCCCCTGGTAACCATCATTCTACTCTCTGCTTCTATAAATTTGACTACAGTCATGCACTGCTTAACAATGGGGATGCATTCTGAGAAATTTGCCATTAGGTAGTTTCATTGTTGTGTGAACATCATAGATTGTACTTACATACACAAACTTAGATGGTTTAACCTACTATACACCTAGGCTATATGGTATAGCCTATTGCTCCCAGGCTAGAAGTCTGTATGGCATGCTAGTATACAGAGCAACATGAGATTAAATCAAGCACAAGAGAAAATGGTGCAATCAGGAGTTGTGGTAAACATGAGAGGTATGAGGCTGCTGCTGATATAACACAGGATACTGTTTTACAATGAAAAATGTAAGAATTATTTTTATTCACTGCAACATTTTTGAATCACTTCAAAAAGTCTTTATTTGAATGACTGTTATGTAGCCAGACCTTGTTAGTGCTCTAGAAAATACAGGAGGAAGAGATAAAACCCAATGAATAATGAACTTATAACCCACTGACAGCTGACAGCCCCAAAATATGTGATGTTTACACTTTAGCAGCATTTTCAAATTCATGACCTCATTTATGAAAACAGCCCTGAGAGATGTACATCGTTATTCCAATTTCATAGCAGAGATTACTTGGGTTGAATCATTGCCTAAAATCATCCAACTGATTAAAAGGCAAATCTAAGATTTTTAAAAATAACAGTTTTATTGACATACAACTCACATATAAAATTCACCCTTGGAAAAAAAAAAAAAAAGACAATTCAGTGGTATTTAGGACATTCACAGAATTGTGCATCACCACTAAGTCTAGAACATTTTTATCACACCCCTCTCAGATAAACCCTGCACCTACTCAGTCACTCCTCATTTTCTTCCTCTCCTGGGTCCTGGAAACCACTGATCTACTTCACTTTTCTGAATTTGCCTAGTATGGACATTTCATATAAATAGAATCTCTACAACATATGGCCTTTTGTGTCTGGCTTCTTTCACTTAGCATAATGTCTTTAAAGCTCATCCATGTAGTAGCACGTATCAATTAGTACTTCACTCCTTTTTGTGGCTGAATAATATTTCATTGTGAGGATATCCCATATATTTTGTTCATCAGTTGATGGACATTTGGTTTGTTTCTATATTTTGTCTATTATAATACTGCTAGGAGCATTTGTGTGTAAGTTTTTTATGGAATCATTTATCTCGGGTATATACCTAGCTTGAAAAGAACCTGAATTTGAACACAGGGCACTTCATGCAAATCTAACACAACATAAATTATTGAAATTATTCTAATGACATCAGAGGCGAAGAGCTGTAGGGAACACAGTACTGACCTGGGGGGTGGGTATAACCCAAACGCTGGGCACTGCTCTGCCGCTCATTCTGGATATTCAGTGATTAGACTAGAATCAGCTCTGAGGCTTTTTCCAATTCCAAAACAACTCTATGGTAGTTGACATCCAGTTGAATTTTTTTTCAAAAACAGAAATTGTGTTACCACTGGGATTTTTGACCAAACTTCCAAACTGACAGAAAGTAAAGTTCCATAAGATCTACTAGTGTGAGAACTCAAAAACTGCTGGAATAAAGGCCGTGAGAAAGGCATATTTTTCTCCCTCCAGCCCCTTGTGGAAAATGAAGGCTCAACCAATGCAATCACTCAAGCTCGGAAAAGAACCAACACAAAGGAAAAGAGAGAGGGCCTGAGGCTCAGCTGGGGACAGGGCTCGCTCAGTGTTGTCATTTGCTAAATCCGCACATTCCTGAAGGCACAGAAACACACAGTGGAGCGCAGCCCAGGCCAGCTGGCTCTCTGGAGGGCATTTCACTGTCACTGCCCTTGGGCTGGAGTTGCCAGCAAGCAAGTTCCCTTCGGGGCAGGAAGAGCAGTGTTTCAAGGGACTCTGCCAGGAGCCTCAGAGGCAGGAAATCAAACAATATTTATCGACCCATCCCATCTCACCCTCTTCAGAAAGAATCCAGCCAAAATACCTCTTCAGACAGGGTGGAAGATCATGTAAATATTTACTTTAGTCGGTTAATTAAAAGAAAGAAAAAGTAAAAACCAAGAGAAGAAATAATTCAGCTTCAGGCTGCCTCCTCTTCTGATTGATCCCCTGAACGTTCTGCCTCATCCGTTTTTCATGGGTAGCTTCAAAATTTGGAACAGTGATATTGGTTTTTTCAGATTCGTGCTTATTATGAAAAAAATGATTTCCATAAACCAGATAGAAAAATCAATCCCATTACTTTCTAAGTGACCCCTGATCTTTGGAAAGCACACCTTGCAAAACATCTCCTACTTTGAGTACAAAAATCTATGCAAACCATACTCTTCCCCCTATGCAAGACTTCCATAGGAGGCACTCAGCAAATGTAATGTGAGTTAAATGCAACCAAACAGAATTCTATATTATGCCACAGAGAGCCCAATTCTTTGTCCCCGTTTAAAAGGCAGGACTTAGATGCTGCTCTGGAGTGAGTGGCTAAGACTCCAGCTCCAAGGTCAAAGGCAGGTTTGTTTCCTGTTCTCCTCATTCTCCTCTTCTCTATCCCTCTTGTTGTCCTTCATTATCAATCCTTTTTATACTCATTTCCATCTCTCCTTTTACCCTTCCCTCTCGATGGCTTCATCTTTCCAGTCTAGTCTCAAAGCAGCAACCAGTCAGTTTTCCCAAAGACAACTAGAATCAATTCTATTCAGCGCTTTCCTTCTCTTTCCTTCCCTCCTAACCCATCCCCACCCCCAACAGGGACAGGGGGCCACATCAGAATCTAGAGGTATAGAATGTGTCTTCTTTTAGTCATCTGCAAATTCACCCCATCTACTTCAAGACACAGATTTTAAAAGTATTCAAGCAGTAGCATCCATTTAACCTCAGGTTTGTCTTGTTTGTTTTCTGCACTGCAAATTGGGTAGGATCTAAATATGCATCTATGTCTCCCAGAGGGCCCCAAGCCCTACCATTTACAGAGCCCTTTCACAGACAACATCTCGTTTAAATTGTATGACAATCCAGAGTGGACCACAGCATTTAAGAGCCTTCTCCAAAGTCCAGGATCCAATGAGAGCAGAGCTGGGAACCCAGGATTCCTGGCACCAAGTCCCTAGCTGCCTTCCTCTTAAGGAAATAGTCCTCTGGTTCAACTCCCTGGCTTTTTCCTTGGATGTGGATGCCATCCCACCCTGTTTTCAGTCGATCTGGATTATCCGCAAACTT